AAAACAACGAAGGTCAGCGAGGCCTGATACGAAATCGCGTGCGTTCAAGAATGGACAACGCCTCTCTTCTGGTTAAGTACTGTAATGAGACGAATAACTCGCGCCTCGGAAGTCTGACGGAATCGGTGGAGCTGCTGGAGTGGTTCGAGGCGAACATGTTTCCTCAACTAATTTGCACCCTCGCAACAGCGGGAATCGTCGGAAATTGTCTGACGTTGCTGACCATACAGAGCAAGGTTTATCGATGTCTTCAACCGTTTACAAAACTAACCCGCGTCAGTACCGTAGTATCTATTCTATTGGACTTGACGAACTTTGCCTCCGGCTTTCTGGTCGGCTGCTTATGGGACACGAGCACCAGCTGCTCCTTGCTGGCAGTTTACGCCGTACTGCGAGGCGCCCTCAACTACTTCCTTTTGGTAAGCGATTTTCTGTACCTCATTCTTACCATAGACAGATACATCGCCATTTGTCACCCGATCTACTGGCATACGACTGCGACTGAAGCCAAACAGAAGATCGTGTCGAAATCGATCGTGTTCGTGTTTCTGATCAGCCTGGTACGTTTCCATAACGGCATTGACTTCTATTGCATGTTCCGAAGCAGACCGAGGGCTTTAAACGATCCCTGGATTAGAATACTGAGGACATTGGCGGACATTGCGTTTCCAACAATTTTCGTTGGTCCGTTGATCTACATGAACATTCAGATCTTTCGCTCCATTCGTCGCCAGAGGCAGCTGAAAATGGAAAAATGTACCTCTACGAATTACTCATCTGTGAATCGGGAAATGTCCAATAGCAGGCAAGCCTATTCGCTGGCGTCCGTTAACCCCGGCGAATTGAGAATTCAAGCAAACAAGGAAAGGAAGGCGACTGTCGGCATTATCATGATCAACCTGGTGTTATTCCTGTTCAGTTTGATCAGCTTCTACAGTTGTACTATACAGTCCGTTCACCGCCATAATTACGAGGACCAGTCTCATGAGTGCAGCGAGCAGATCTTCGAGTTGAACAAGAAAAAACTGCTGCTCATTCACTTCATATCCATCCAGCTGCTGAAGACCTGCTCTGGGTCCGTCATGTTCTACGTCTATATCATCTTCAACCGCACGTTCAGACGCGAGTTCAGCAGAACAGTATTCGCCTTGTACCGATTAACCGTGCCTGCCAGGTCGCAGTCGACCGTTTGTCCAATGTCGACCATTTCGATGAGTTTAGACAAAAGCCGAACAATGCGACAGAAGTTTTAATTACGGTACCAGTCTTCGTTGGAATCTGGAAGAATTAAAATATGCTAAGTTTTGTTCGCTGATATTTTCTATTGAAAATACACCGGCATTTAAAGTCCAGTGAGTAGAACCTAAAAGCTGGCATGACCCACGTGTGCGTAATTCAATCCGTAGCTGTTCGCCAACTGCACAATTAAGGGTTGTAAAACAATGAAACGGATTTGATGGAAATGAAGAAACTGATAGGTCAATAGTATGTTGTATATTATATATGCTTTCAGCACTTACACTGAACATGATTTTGCACATTTTTCTAAGGTTTACCGTGACAAATCCTACGTACATTTCAAATATCATACTGCATGAGAAAATACTTTCAATGCCATTCTGTCCGAATCGCCTAAACATTGAAAAATATCATCTGACCGGTTATTAGAGAAATCCTGAAGCGTATCAGCATATAGCCGGTCTAAAACCAGATTTCTCTCAAATTATACCCCGCTGTTCCTAGATGCCCGGCGGGCCATTTTGCTAGACCTCGGATGCCATGGCACTGGAGTACCCTCTGTTCTTAGATGCACCCCGTATTTTTTTTATATCTGAGGCGATACCTGATCGTCAAGAACGATGTTTCGGCAGCCGGTGATCATTATATGTTCTTGCAAAACAATACAACAGCGTTAAATTGTTTTGCTTCCAGACTGATTGTTCACAGAAACAGTTCAAAGGGACTATGTAAAATCCTTCATGTACTGACGCATTCCAACGCTGTAAACCTGCGTCACCATCATTCTACCATAATTTACCATAAGCAGGTACATTTATAATTATACACCTGCTTCTGAGAGAAAATAAGCATCATTCTTTGATGAATGAAGTAGGCAGATCTCCTTTGATGGGCAATTTTAATGCGCAAGTTAAAGCAGTAACCGAAAAGTGAAAAAGGCGTGATTGGGAGAAATGGCCTTTGGGACCTCAACAATAACGGCATGAAATTATTGCGTCTAAGCGCAAACAACAAACCATCTGCAATGACCATCTTCAGTTGCCTCAGCTATCCGTTAATAATGGTATTTTTTGTTTTAAGACGCTTAGAATGTAGGTACGAGTTAAAAGAATCACAGAGCTATCAGCCGATCATCAATTTGTTGTTAGCAGCAAACGGTGGCTATGCCATGACCTGGCGGCAGAATTAACCGGAGAATCAAAAGGGAAGCATTGTCTTCTACGGATACAAAGGTGAAACTTGCAAACAACATCGCACGACGATTTCAACATGTCCCAGTGAAGGCGATTGATATTAAAACCAAATAGAGGCGCTTTAGGAACGACATACTTTGGGCTGCCGTCTAAAACACATCCGATTGTCGCCTGAGGGTCGGAAACGAATTTTCTGGACCTCAGAGGTTCAGCTGGCTGTCAGCCATAAGAAGGCTGCATAGAAGAAATGGTTTGGAAGCTTAAATGTTAGGAAATTCAAGAGACGATATGTATTTTGGTGATAATTGCTGGTCTTAGGCTGTCTCTCCCACCATTCCTCTTGACGTTGCCTTTGAGTAATTTGTTCGTGCACTGGTATTCATACTGGAAACTGAAAAATGAATACTGTTTATTTATACATGGTGACGTTCATTATGGAATCGCACCGTCATCATGTTTCCTTCATCAACTCCCCATTTCTAGGCTGCTTAATGACGATGATATAACTGGGGTATGTCCAAGCTTTCACTTAATAATACAGTTATAGGAATAATCTTTTAGAGGGACATAAAATGAATGATTGAATGGAATTTAACGTGGCGCAGATTAAGTTCACATACTTGATGGTCACATTTGCTGGTGATCAAAAATGGGAGGAGGATTTTGACTGGCAAATCTTGATGACCAGTGACTTTCTACGCAAATCGCCCGTACAGAGAGATAAGTCTGAACACGAGGATGTCTGTGTCACAAGTCAGCTTTCATTTCCATATTCATCCAGGATGATGACGGCTGGGCATAGCTGAGAAACTGAGATCCCGAGTACGAGCGGATGAAATGGTCATTCCATAAGGCATTTGAAGAAAAGTCACTGAGCTCATACATTTCCACACAGCCCGTGGCTATGATAGCCGAAAAAGCCTTGGAGTACAGCCTCTGTTTCTTCAAATTGAAAAGTCATATCCTCCGTGGGTTTGGACGCGTTTCGTGAATGCTTCCAGATGAAACGGTTGCTGTTTGCTCAACCGATCGGCAGAAGGTCTTTGAAAAGGCCAAGAATGACCGCGGGCAAGTGGCTAGACGGATGTTGTCCAGACTTAAGTTATGTCCAGCCTAAGCTGCTGCCTCGGTGATCCAAAAGAATGAAGCGATCTAGACTATAAATTTCTAGAAAAGAAAACCTTTTTGAGTGCTGAACCTCATTATGTGTGTCAAAACGTTATGTTTATGTTTAGAAACACATATGAAATTGCAAGAATAATTTCGCTGTTTTATAGAGAATAGAAGTTCATTTGTGAAATGTCAAGAAGAACGGACCTAAATTTTCAAATATTTTCATCAAAATCTGCGGTTCCCAGGGAAGAAAATCAGCCCAGAAAATATAAATGAAGTTCAGAACGAGTTGATCCTCGTTTGCAAATTTCGCAAACTGCATGAAGTATGAAAATACCGAACCGTGAGAACTACTAACAAGATCAGTATCCTAAAAGCAACTGCACTCTTCTTTCTCATGTGCTGTCTCGAAACGTCATAAAACTCGTCTCAATGGCTTCCACTAATTCTGTGTGCGAAGCAGCAGACGAGAGGTCGATGATAACATCGCTTGCAAAGGAAAAGGTGCCAGGGGCTGAGAAAACTATCACATGAATAGAAAGGCCCGCGCCTGTGTTTTTATGAAAATCGGCCATGACGTGATTACGAATGTTTTCCGAATTTTTTTCAAAGGGAACCTGTGCGTTGGAAGCGTTTGAGGGCAATGCAAATTAGAGAAACACCTTGTTGGAGCAGTTCTGTTTGGGACAAAGAATATGACCATGGCCGCAACAGTGAGCGTTGCCAATTCTAACAACCCCCCCTGGGCATAAATCAGGGATCTCATACTGCTTTAGCTTTCTCAGACATAAATGCCGGTGAAAAATATTGAACGACAGATCTGCTTCAGATCTAGAGTACTGGGAGAAATAGAAATTGGTGCATAACATAGCGGAAATAGCGTACGCCCGTTCAAAAGAACTGTTACCATAGTGAGAATGAAGTAATCATGAATTTATTAGCGTAATTGCAGGCTTACTGACAAGTAATCTATGATGTTAATTAGGCTTGCTAAATTAAATGGAACAGAATCACGTGAAAAGTCAAATTATTCTAACTACAGTAGCCAAATACTTGATACATGAAGCAAAACTATTTAAAAATGCAATCTTCGGGGTAATAATTAAGCGTTTGCACCAGTTTCCGCCTTCAGGGTTGATTAGGCACTACTTTAGAAAATTAATCTCATGCTTGTACATTCAGAAAAATTCGCGGACCTGTTGTACAAATGGCCAAACCGGTGTTTCTTTCAAAGAGGTAATCCAAACCGCTAGTCTCTGTTGATATCAGCAGGAATATTTAAGCTAGATCTACGCGATGACGTCATTTTGCAGTTTCGAAATTTACTCTCTCGCCTTCGGCCCTTTGCAGGTGAATTTGTATTGTAATCATGTTGTCGCATTATATTTACTTAACTCCATGCCGTCTGATGACCATAGGATAAACTTGAATTGATAGCGGAATCATGAGTTAGGTTATGTGGGTAACTAAGGCACTTATCACTTGATTAATGGGAGCCTTAACATCTCTTAGCCATTCTTAGTGTTACAGTTACGTTCGTGAAAAATGCTACTTTGAACTAATCCAAATTGTTAATTATTTCATTGGCACTTTCAAGTACCTCAGCCATGCTACCCATCATCTGGTGCAAAGCTCAATTCACGACTTCTCTTGGTGCAGCCCTGCACGTTCAGGCGAGAAGTAATGCAGTGAGTGATGGTGCTAGAGAGAAGCAGTACCTCACACACGGTGCAAGTGCAAGCAAAGAAGAAATGCATTTGAAGAGAAGCAGTAACCTCCACAGAGCAACTTCAAGTCTGCCACTCGGTCCAAATACTGAAAGCTGCACTACAATGGCATTTTCTGCTCGATAGTTGGGCATAGTGGTTCTGGGCCATAGCATTTCAGTGTCGCAGTAGTAAGGAGAAACAAAATTACCGACAACAGACGAGTTCAACAAGCACTCCAAGATCAAAGTTGCCGCATATTCACGAACTCAAGTATTGTAGATGCATTTGGGTCATAAGATATCGCAATTAATAGGGTTGTAAATAAACCTTAGGTACGTGGAAACTTTTAAAAACGGTGAATGACTGGTAGACGCGTGTGTCGTGGGAGATTTATGACGCACACAGAAACTTTCGAAGTAGAACTAACTTCCCATGGTCAGTGCCGGCATAGAAGAAGCCAGCAGAACTATCACGTGATGAGGAGGCTTGACTGACGGGACCCTGAGAGTCATTTACCCCGGCCTTATCAGTGATTCACAAAAATAGCTGATATAGTCGTGTAATGTGTGTGACATTGCACTGTGAGATTGGTTGGCAATTTTTGGAGACCTCTTGACAGCTGAACACGCTGCTAGCGCTTAACTGCTCCTACTTTCTGTGTCCTTACTATGTTTTAGAGTAACAGATGCCCTTATGCTAATAGCAACAATCGTTGAACAAAATAATACACCTGACCTGTGAAAAACGCAAATACATTGGTTGAGCTTGTTGATATCCTCGTCATTAGCGTTTGCATAAAAATGGCGTCTATTTTACGTTTCGTAAAACGCTTTTATTACTTCAGTTTCTGCCTTCCTCTGTATCCACAACTTAATAACATCTTTTTCACAAAGCAGAGGTTACTGCATCGCAGGAGGAAATATTTCTCTCCAAAAGCAGATCCTTCTCTACCTTGTTCCTCCATCTAGCATGCTTGCTTCCTAGTCGACGTCTACTGAA